GAGAGTGACGAGCAGGTTTAGTACAACACATCACGGACAGGTAATGGTATAGGACACACGGTTAGAATGGCGACACAAGTTACGGTGTGAGTGCAGTGTGAGTGCAGTGTGAGTGTAGTTGGGAAGGATAGCAATTACAGAGTTTGAGAAGTGGGTTGAGGTGCATGCAGGTGTTAGGGTGAGAGAGATGGTACCAGGTGTAAATAGTGTATATACAGAAGTGCAGTTTGCTATTTATTAGTATTATTGAGTAGTAATCATATCGTGATTACATATTGCTGGTTCTAGTATCGGGAAACAGGCTATTGAAATACAATGTTAAGTAGAATGTAAGTGAATATTTGTGGGTAGGAGTGAACGGGAGTTAAATGTTAACGAGAACGGGGATTGAAGGGGTTCAGAATGAACATGTTATGATTAGAAATGATGGTTGTTTAGTAAATTGGGCTGGTTTGATAAGGATTTTGAAGTGTGGGTATTATATAGGATTGCGGTTTTGATATATGTGTGCACGCATATATTAAAGGCATGGTTATAGTGATATCGGTTAGGAGAGAGATGCTGTTCGGTGGTTTCTATAATTGTTGCAGTTGCAGGGACATCCAGAAAGGAGAGTACATCGGACGAATCTTCCGCTACACAGAGTTGGCACAGCAATGGTCAAATATTTCGGCAGGACATCGAGGCGGCAGTCAGTATACCATTTTGGCAAGGAGCGAAAAACTACGTCATCACTTCAGTGACTTCAATACTTCAACGACGCAGCACTTCAGCAGAGTCGACGACCTTCAAATTTCTGAGAACAATATTTGTTAACACAAACACTAATGTGTTAGCAGATTAGCAGTGCTGGTGAACTTTTGGCATAAACCATTGGACATTATCGAAGAAATTAAAATGCCACAGCACATTTTGACAATTGCGTCCTGCAATCAATTATTGCATCGGCATCAGAAGAAACAGCGCAGATATCAACATCAAGATCAGGGAGGACATAGTAACATCGTAACATCGGCGAGGGATCAAGTTTACATTATTGTATTTCATTTATTATTGAGTGTTTTGGTATGTGTTGTTGTTTTGTATTTCAGGTCTGCATTATGTATTGTGTATTATGGTATATTATTGAGTTGTTGTTGTTTTGTATTTCAGGTATGCATTATGTATTGTGTATTATGTATTATGGTATATTATTGAGTTGTTGTTGGGTTTGTATTTCAGGTTATGCGTTGTTGGTATTTATTGAGTTGTTGTGTTGCATTGGGGTTGGTGTAGTTTGTGTATTGTTTTCTCTTTTCAGGTTTTCGTTTCAGGGTTTTAAGGAATTGCATTATTGCACAGAAGGTTTCACTTGGCAATTCGTGTCAAGTGTGGTTTTATATCAGTGTGGTCAGTGAGATTTTGTTGGCGGCAGTGTTAAGCCATAGCATTGGAATACCATGGTACTGGCTTTGGTACCATAGGTAATAGGTTGTGTAAAACTTGTGGACAGTTATTATGTGGGGAGGGGGGATGTGTTCAATGAAGGAGTTATTGTAGACGGTATGATGGACAAAGGACGGAATGTATTTGATGTTGGGCTCTATTTCGTCAGGAACAGCTGTGTGTGTGTGTGTGTGTGTGTGTGTGTGTGTGTGTGTGTGTGTGTGTGTGAGTGTGTGTGTGTGTTAGATATGGGGGCTTGGGAGTTAGTTAAACAGGACATTTAGATCAGCGGGGCGCTGAATCGATGATGGGATCATCGTTTTGATGAAGGGGGAGATAAATGTAACGTCTGTTTTACACATGTTGCACAGATGTTACATTGAATTAGTAATTGTAGATAGTATTGGTTGTACATAGAGAAGGGTTGGGCGTTTAGCATATAGATTAGAAATAGTTAGGTTGGGCTATGGGTTGGGGTACTAGCAGATAGAATATCAGACGTTAGAGGGCGTACACATCTGCGTGGCAGATGTGCATTTCGCGCGTAATTATTAGAATAGAGAGAGAGAGTGGTGGTGTGTGATTGGTTGGAGTATAAAGGCGCTTGCCAGTGATTGGATGAGGGAGTGATACATAAGGCTCGGGAGCGCATTTGACGAGACGGTTGGAACTGGACGGTTGGAACGGGAAAGACTGGACGACGCGACTCTGACTATTTGTTTGTAAACAATATATTTCTTTAGTGAACACAAAATTATACTTCTTCTTGATTATTACTACTATAAATTATTACATACAAACTACGTCCCTACAGTACACGTGCGTGCTGCATGCGTGCGTGTGCACGTACACGTGCGTGCATGCGTGCGTGTGTGCGTGCGTGCGTGCGTGCGTGTGCACGTACACGTGCGTGCGTGCATGCGTGCGTGTGTACGTACACGTGCGTGCGTGCGTGCGTGCGTGTGCTTGTATCGAACAATATCAGGCATCTGCTTGCTGCCAACCGTTAAACTGCGCATGTGCGCATAAGACGTCAATCTAATATATATTTGAGTTCGTATGTATGTATGTATGTATGT